CAACGTTTCGACCCGACTTTGCAGGTCTTCTTCAGGGAGATGTGTTCAGATCGGAGTTTCACATAGAACTCCTTCAGGAGAGTTTCAGTTTTAAGTGAAACTCCTAGCTGAACACACCTCCCTGAAGAAGACCTGCAAAGTTGCCTCGCATCATCGGATTACTACATATTTAGATCCATGGTCCATTTTCTTCAAGGAAAAAAATTGATAATTTTACGGAAGTTGAAATTGCAGTCCAAGAGTTCTTTGACAGCCATCCCAAAGAATGGTTTGAAATTGGCTAGCAGATAGCTAATGACGGAAGATAACAACAGACTATACTTTGAGTATTAATTGTATTTTGTATATTAAAGAAATAATAATAATACAAATATTTGGTTGAAAAACGGTCATTTTTTTTAGACACCCTATTAGGTTAACTTTCAAATATGTTTTAGTGGATTTCTACTTTATTTTTAATCTCTCGTTCATCAGCTGTTTATTAGGCAGCGAAAAGGTTTCATCGTCCATGGTTATTGTCTTTTTTTATAGATTTTAATACGGTTCACTATTTGGAATTGTTATTTTGGACAATAAATCTAAGTAAGATGTAAAGGTGCGTTCAAACATTTCACAAACTATGTGAAACACAATTACCTAACTTAACTAATAGTGACATTATTGCTAAGCCAATTTTTTTTATTATTTCCTGTGTTACCGATAGCAGATGGAAAAAATCGAAAACAAGGAACAAAAACACTAATATAGGGAAAAACAATACTTAAATATTTGCGTTTCCCATAGTTTGTGAAATGTCTAAACGCACCGTAAAGTAAATTGAGAAATAACAACGCTGAGGTTAATATGAGGTTATAAAAAACCGATTAAACCCCAAGCCATCGGTGATTCAATCGATGAATAAACGAATTGCACTGAAATTTATGGTTCCATTGATGGATTTAGAAACGGCCTGGTGAATTTCCGATGCCAACTAAATTAAGAAATCTTCTCAAACTGATGACTTTTAGTTTTGCTCATTATTTTAATATGAGATTAATAATTAATTTTATATTACAAATTCACACTTGTTTATACAATGATTGTACAAACAATTCAAATTCTTTTCCGTATCGAACAAAAGGAATTATAATTTCAATGAAGGTTAACAACATGTGTAGGTGTGTGTGTGTGTTTGTGTTAAAAGACTTAAAGAGGTCCTAATAAGGGCACTCATTGTTATATAATGGGTATAATAAAGATGTAATAATTAATAAATATATCTATATAATCAATATATTTATATAATAAATATATTTATTTATTACTAGATGTACTCGGCCACGCGTTGCTGTGGCTCATTCTGGTTAAATAAAAAAAATAAGTAGAAAAGAAATCAGATGTTTCTAATAAGAATATGCGATATTCTTTGTTATTCCATTCTTTGTATAGATATAGAGATTGTCTGGTTTTCCAATTCTAGGATTAACAACATATAATTGTCTGTATGTGAAGCAATCGGTCTCTAAATATCCCACGAAAAATTACTAAATGTTTAAAGCATTATGTCTCTGCACTAAATCGTCCAATTTTAGTGATTTTTTTTTATTTATTTGCAGGGAGTCAAGGAAGCTTTCAAATAATGGAGGGTATAATCAAACAAAAATTTTTGTACTTTTTGAGTTATTCGCAAATATAGTTTTGAACCCATTATTAACTTTTTTCATACTCTTTTCTGGGAAGGATGCTATATACATAAATTAAAAGGACTTCAAGGAGAAGATTTTAGCTAATTTAAATTAAAATCGTTACAGCCGTTTAGGCGCTGCAGTCTATAGCGACACAGGTTTTTCGGCCGCCTTTTCGAAACGAAAGACTTACTTAGATGTGACGGTTTTTAATATATCTGAATAAAGAAATAGTATTCCAAAATATTAAGAAATGGGGCATTTTCTCATACGTAAATAGTTCGTTAAAATGAGCCCGCCAAGAAATTAATGCGAACACAATCAGGCCTATGAGAATCAGGATCCTTATATGAAATGTAAAAACTGTTTATGCAAAGCAAATATTGACGGAATCTGCTAAGAAACCTTCGAATAATTAATTCCTTATTTATTCCCAAGTTCAGTGTTGTATTTAATATTTATTATGAAGTCACATTTGAATTAGTTCATTGAACTTAACAACTTAGTGTAGCTTTATTTAGTTTAACAACAATCTTCTTTATAGATCACTTTTACCCAATCAGCTTCCTCACTTTATTATATTAGTATAATAACAAGAATCCTTCTTATCATATGGCATAGCACTATTTTCGTTGACTACAAGATAATGACCATTATTCTACCGGATATTATGAAAATATAATAGGAATATAATAACCACCAAGCTGGATTCAGAAAAAGGAGTAGGACGCTAGACCACATCTTCATCCTAAAACAAGTACTCAAAAAATAATGGGGAATAGCTCAGGACTTCCACACCCTATTTGTCGATTTCAAACATTCGACTTTATTTATTTTAGGAAGAAAAACAAAAGTGGAGAATACGATTCGCTAACCCCCCGTGAAATTCTGAATCCAACGGTACCTCATTTACGGAATTTGAGACCCCATGACAGGAGTATTTATATTATATTTATTACAAAACCGATTTCGAGCCTTACTGTAATATATATATACTAGTAGGCCCGTGCGAGAAAATTCGCACAGCATATTGTTATCAAATGCCAAATTAATAATAAAATAAAATAATTCAACGTATCAAATGATAAAAAGATCAATTGTTCCTTTATCGATAAATATAATCGACAAAGGAAACAAAAATTAATTTAAATCTTCATCATTGTTTGGAACTAAATATATGAATAAATATATGAATATGAAATATGAATAATATACGAAAAATATTACTTTTAAAGATAATTGTTTAATGTGGTTTTCATAAGACATGGTTATATTTTACAATTTTGGAGGGGCTTCAGCCCGAATGTCTATCTTCCGTTGATTCGCCTGTGAGGATGCTAGAAGATAGTGGACAGTCGAGAAAAGCTAATGAATGAATGTATAAGGTTGCGTGAGACAATTATACATAACTGCTGTATCAATATGGTACGATGTTCTTCCAACTATTCCCCCACTTAAAATCCAATTTACATCTTAAATATTGACAGAAGAGAATATAAAAGCGGACGCTACCGTTGAATATAGAACGAATGGTACAACATCATTGGCAAAGGTAAAGTATGGTTTTTAAATTAAAAAAATACAGAGGATTTAATATTTTTTTCTTCTTGGCTTAATTTGTTTGGGAACTTTTATCTTTCAATAGGTCAATTTTAATTTCCTTTAATATTTGTTTCCTTCATTAACACTTTTAAGTGGACGTTTCATGGAATATTTTCCCCCATCGTCATAACTCTCATTAAATTAATATAATAATTATTTTACTGTATTTTTATGACTCTTGTTGTCATAAATTATTATACAGGGTGTTTCGTAATTACATGGCACTATTTTAGTGTATGTGTTCACTAACACAAAATAAACAAAAAGTTCATATTAACATATATCTCAAACTCATTTATTAAACAGATATCAAAGGTTAAACATTTATTATTTATTTACTGCATTAAGACTGACTGTACAAAGTTTAAGGTGTTTAATACTAAATAACAGATTTTAATCACATGATAAACAAATGAACGATAAGTAATGACAGTAGTTGCTCATTTCTTTATCTAATTCTCGGTGTTTTAGTGTGGGTGAATACTGTGATACAGTTCAATTTATGATCAGCATGGGAGACACCATAAATTTATTCACTTTTGCAGAACGAACAGACATGCTTTTAACTAATGGCGAGGTACATAGAAACGGTGCTGCTGCTGTTCGAAGATATCGTGAAACATTTCCAAACCGAAGAATACCAAATCGTAAAACGTTTGAGGCCATCGAAAGACGCCTTAGGGATAATGGCACGCTAAAACCTTTACGAGTAAACGCTGGTCGACAAAGATTTCGACGAACTGCAAACTTTGAAGGAGAAATACTCGATGCTGTTCAGTTATCTCCTACTACTGGGACCAGAAGATCGTCACATCGTTTCGATGTTTCCTCTACCAGCGTATGGCGAACTTTACGCGAAGAACAATTGTATCCATTTCGCGTATCGAGTTGGCAAGATTTGTTACCACAAGATTATGACAAGCGCAGAAATTTCTCCTAGTGGTTAATTCGACAATGCAAACGAGATCCTTAATTCCTTAACGAGAAATGGGATTCTTAATTTTCGAAATACGCATACTTGGGCTGAAGAAAACCCTCATATGACTGCTGTTGGACATCACCAACATAAGTTTTCTTTAAATGTCTGGTGTGATCTTTTAAGCAATAATATCATCGGCTCCTTCTTTCTGTCACTTAGGCTGTCAGGTATTTCTTACTTGCATTTTTTGCAAAATAATCTTCATGAACTCCTAGAAGACATTCCGCTAGGCATTAGGCAAAGGCTGTGGTTTATGCATGACGAATATATAACAAGCGCAGAAATGTTGTAATAATAATAAATGAATAGTAATAATAAATAATAAATCTTTAAACTTTGATGATGATGTTTAATAAATGATTTCGAGATATATGTTAATCTGAACTTTTTTGTTTATTTTGTGTTACTGGTACTGGTTGGGGGAACTTCCAGCAAGTAGGCCAATATGTCCTTTTTGCCAACCCCAAAAATTTGACACTACAAGTGATTGTCTATTATATCTGTACTCTGTCTCCAACCGTTTTGTTCTTCTAATGAAGTTCAAAAGGTTGGGCCATTTAATGGAGGCAGCTTTGCATAATTGTATTCTGTCTGCTCCCAGGAGTCTGTATCTGAGTGACGCAAATCGGTCACATTCCGTTATAAACTGAAGGGCAGTTTCCGGTGCACTTCTGCAAAGATTACAGAGCTCATCCTCCACTATCCCACAGATCTTTAAGTGTCTTTTAAGTCTGCAGTGGCCTGTTAGCAATCCGATGATGAGTCGAATTTCTTTCCTAGTTAGGCCCAGCAGCCACTTTGTTTTGGAGGTAGAGGGGCTTTTTATAAATTGTTTCACTTAAGTCCAGTGCATTCCCTCCATTCTTTACATGTTATCTTCCAAGTCCAATCAAGGACTTCTTTCCGCTGATGCTTTTTGGATATTCATATTGCAGGTTCTGGGCCTACAATAGAAAATTCCTCTCCTTTCCTTGCTCCAGGACCAGGGACCCACACTAATTCCACCCTCTTGGAGGAGGCCAGTGTCTCCAAAGCCTGTTTACACTCCTGCACTTGTGTGGAGGTCATTTTGGGAGACTTCAAAGCTTGTAGTACTGACTGACTATCAGAGTACATAGTGATGCCAGCACTCTCGCAATTGGTAACTTCAAAACAGTTGGCTGCAGAAAGTATAGCAAACACCTCTGCTTGAAATACTGTAGCATTATTACCTAGTGGCATGCTTAGTTGTATATTTAGGTTTTCTATATACTCTTAATTTTTGTTACAGAACACATGCCTGAAATACTGCCTTGCAATTACGAAACACCCTGTATATTAATTTAAAAATATCTGTTGGTAATATTTTAATTTCCTTTCAATATCTATCAGTCCGTAGTGCAATCCCCTTTTTATCAAATTATTAACCTTAATTTAAAATAGCTTGGCTTCACTTTATCTATACCTACAGCTTTTTAATTTACGAAAATGAAGCGTTTTCAATCTTGAGATCGGTAATCTTTGTATGCCCAATGAATTACTAAAAACCCATGGACACTTATTTGCATTTCAATTGAATTCCAAGATAATTTGAACATAAAATCTAAAAAAATAAAGTGGCCTACAAAAGTATTGGACCGTTTGTCCTCCACTCCCAAAACGTCTAAATAAAGAGGTTATATTGGCCAAAGGGTCCAATATTTTGGTAGGTCGCCCTTTTTTTTCTATGTTGTGATCATATTACCTTACAATTTAAATAGAAAGAAAATGGCTATTCATGACTTTTTAGTACTTCATAAAATTAACCATGAAATGCCTCATTTCTGATAAAAGTTATAGGTTAAAATATGATGAAGTCATTCACTATGTATTTCTAGGAATAAAAAAATTAGTGGAAATTTAAAATTGCCAAATTTAAATATTTATTATTTATAATTTAAAATGTATGAATAATTGCAGGTCTCAAAATTCGAAAGACTGAGATCGCACAATGAGACAAACTGTATTTTTTTGTGTCCGACAATTTCTGCTGTTGGTAAGAGACTCAAGTTTTTTATTTTAAGCATTTTCTTTAGCATAATATTTTTGAGGAGAAAGCAAACTGATCTAGAACAGAAAAGAGTTCACATCTAAACCCGAATGAACCAAGTTCAAATGTTTGGACGAACGTTTTTAATTTTTTTGTCTTTCCAATACATGTGTTTGCTCAGATGAAGGCCAGCGAACTGTGTTTGAACGTTCGCAAACATTGAATAATATCTTATCGAATTCCATTCTAATAGAAAAATCAACACTCCGATTTGGTAATCTTTCTCCATTAAAATATTGAAGATTCATTTTTCTATATATGAAATATATAGTAAAGGAAAGTATTGCGATCGTGAAAATTCCGAATCTGAGTTTTTAAAGGAAATACACGTTTTGAGGTCCCCTGAGTCCAAATAATCAAGTTCCACAAAATGATCTGTGTAATAAATGCGTGTTTAAGTCAAAAACGAAAACTCGTACGAAACTGAAATTACGTATTTCAGGCGTTCTATAAGCCGGGGATGTTACAGCAACATTTTCGCCAAAATTAGCAAACCGAACTGGTACTTTATATTATCGATTTAACACATTTTTACGAATTTCTCAAAAACGGATATAACGATTTATAAAACTAGTTTTAAAACATAATTGCTTTAATGGGTTCAATTTATAAACTTTTGGAGGCTTCTATATTTTGCTGCACTGTTATGATTTTTTTTTTAATGATAAATATTACGACCTGTTTCAATTGTGGACAGTTATAATGTAGATCAGAGAGCACATTCACACCTATGTTTTTCATAGCTTACAATTTAAATACTCCATCCAATTCCGTCCCACTAGATCTCGCACTTCGGACCTCTATTCCCCTCCTCACAGAACTGCAGAGTTTGTCAAATCTTTGGCAATTCAAGCCACCTCCTTCTGGAATTCCATCCCAGCCGATATTCGACACGCACAATCAGTTTCCTCTTTCAAACCTCTCCTCTTTAAACACCTACTCCTTTCTCAATCCGCCTGATTACGAAATATACCTAAGAGAGCTATCTAAGTACCACCGAAAATATTTCTGTTATTTTAGTTGTCCATGTTCGTATTATATATATTACGCTTTTTCTCTCTCTCTCTCCGTCTATATTTTTACTTTTAAATAACCAATATTGTAAATATTTACTCTATTTATGACCACTTATACGTGTATTCAGTACTTGTGATTTGTTCTAAAGGGACAACAGTCGTAGAATAATAAAACATATTTTCATTTTATTTCATATCTACAGAGAATTTTAATAAATAACTTAGGTAATATCAATCTAATTACCTAAAAATAAAAATAAAATCAAATCCAAATAAAAAAATAAATAAATTCGAAAGGTAAAATATACATCTAAAACACAACCACTCTATTTAAAATCAGTCATGTTCTCCTCTTATGGAGGAAAAAGCGAGGTTCTAAGAGGTCCCAGTGCTTCCCCGCCAACGCGTCACCATTATTAATTTTTGAATTAAAATCTCTTTGGCCAGTTTAGCCACAAATACTTTCTTCATCTATTTTATTCTTTAGTAAAATATGCATTTGTAGTTAACGTTTTCTTCCTTCCAGTATCTATACTACTTCCCAAAAGACATTTATATTTTATGAACTCTTCAATAACTATATTACCTTCTTTGTCTATAATGATAGCTTTCTTCATCTTCTATCTTTTCAATTATACTATATATTTTTTTATTGTATGATGAAAAATTTCATTTCATTTTGATATGAAATAAACTATTTAAACTAATTATGACGGAACAATTAGATAATAGTTATCATGCTTTAATAATATTTTCATCCACAGGTAGTTGCCTTACAAACTGTCCAATGCGCCAAGAAACCTTTAAGGATAACCTGGGATCAATTCAGAAGCGCTATAACGGCAAATGGATTCCCTACTCCAAATGAAGCACAGTATGAAGGTTTCGTACACACACTTGAGTACGCAGGGATAAAAGACAAGAGAATGGCAGCCATGTTCTTGGCTCAGCTTATCCACGAATCGGGTGGCCTCCAGTTCAAAGAGGAACTCGCCTACAAAGACAAAGACGACGATCCTTACAAGAGCTCCATCGATGTACCCGGAAAGAGGTATTACGGCAGAGGCTACATCCAGCTCTCGTGGGCGGAGAACTACCTCAGTGCTTCGAAGGGTATCTATGGGGACGACAGGTTGTTGCAGAACCCGGACCTTGTTGCTAAGGATGAGGATGCTGCGTTCTTGACAGCAGGTTGGTACTGGAAGAACAGGGTCGCTGTTGTACCGGGCGTTCAGAAAGGAAGGTTCGGAGATTCGACAAGAGCCATCAACGGAGTCGTAGAGTGCAATGGCGAGTATCTCGAGAACAGCAAGAACAGGTTTAAATATTACAAAATGGTGTTCCAAATATTCGGCGCTAAGGGAAAACCTGATGAAAGAGGTTGTTATAATTGATTTAGCTAGAACATCATGCAAACACCATTATGCTATTTAGTTAATACAATCGATTGTTTTAAATAATATTGAATTTTAAACATTCTTTCATGATGTTCCTCTAATTCTTGTAGATCTAACTTTTTTTTTTTGTTTTTTTCCTCCAACTCTTACTGTCATACAAGAAAATACTCCCCGATTTCGAATAAGAAGACTTGAGTCCAAGGACCAGGCTGTTACGAAATAAAATTCGACCTTTGACCAAACCCTTTGCAAAAATCATACATCTTCCAAATTTCCTGCCGAATCATATCAACGCTCACATAAATCAACCATAAAGGAAGGAGATGGTCCAGGGTTGCGGTCATATATAGGCTAAATAGTGGTAAAACTATTTTATTGAAAGCCAACGTTTCGACCCGACTTTGCAAGTCTTCATCACGGAGGTGTGTTCATCTAGGATATATATACACTGACGGGCAAAAGATTCCACCCACTTGATTTTTTCATGTTTTCATCTAAAAATATTTCTGCTTTGGATTGGCTTATTGTTTTTAATGAATAAATAGGTAATCTTTTTGTTTGTTTTCAATTAGGAATGTTAATATAGAGGACAATAACCCTTAATCCTTAATTCAATGAAATGATTCTAGATTCCAATGTTTACTTTCTATGGAATCAAAATGTTTATTCAGTATCATTAGTTCAGTGCCGTTTCTTGCAGCACATTTCTTAGTCTCCGGCTTTTAATTTTTTCAATATTAAGTTTAAAAATGCCTCTTAGTGCTGAGGATGTTGCGCGTGGTGTGGCACTTATTGATGATGGACGTTCCATTAGATATGCAGCTAATGCCATCGGAGTTCCATATGAAACTTTACGAGAAGCCGTCGGGCGTTTTTGAGAAACTGGTTCTTGCATTAGAAGGCCCGGTTCTGGACGGCCGAGGGTAACAGAACCACGTAATGACCGGTTTTTGACTTTGAGAATTTTACGGAACCGGCACCTTACCGTTGTTCAAGCGATTCATCAGCTCGAAGAAGTTCGAGGTGTGGAAAGTTCTGAACGTACCGCTCGGAGAAGATTAAATGAATACGGATTAATGGCTTATCGTCCAGTAAGAGGACCAGAGTTGACCAGAACTCACAGAGTAACAAGGCTGGCTTTTGCTCAAGAACACAGCCATTGGACTATGGACGTATGGAGTGCTGTACTTTTTACAGATGAGTCAAGATTCGCTCTTCGATCTCCAGACGGGCGTGAAAGTGTGTGCAGAAGAAGAAACGAAAGATAAGCAGCCTGTAATTTTTCCCAGAGCCAACCTTTCCAACATGGTTCCTTAATGGTGTGGGCTGGGATTTCAATGGAGCGCCGCAGAAATTGGTTGTTGTTCGTGGAGGATCTTTGACGGTCATTCACTATGTAGATGAGATTTTGGAATCTCATGTGTTGCCTATCCTCAACGAAATCGGCGATCGTTCTATTCTAATGCACGAGATAAATCGATTGTAGCTTGATGTGATAAGCTGTCAATTTGTGTTTATGCCAATTATTTTGTATTATTGTGTTCTATTATTAGTTTAAGTGTTTATATTTGTGTTGTTTATCGTTTTTGTCGTTATTATTTATAGTTTTCGTTAGTTTACAGTTATGGTTTATTGTTTTTAATTGGATTTTTGTGATACGAAGAACTTTGTAGGTTAGGTAACCAAGTGGTTATCAACGAAGTGTTTAACGCCTAAAGTATAGAATACTACAGACAATTCGGGAAATACTATAAACGGGCTTCAGGTAAGACTGTATATTCGTTTATATAAGTAGATTGTGCAATAACATTTTTCCCACCGTATCAAATTTATTTAGGTTAATTGAATATTGAAATATTATTATATTTCAAATAATCGACGTATGATGGATAGTAAAAGTTCCAAAATGGAAGAAGTGTCTATCGAAGGAAGTACAAACCAGGATCATCGGTCGTCGGCCAAACGACCAAGAAACAGATCGACTGACACCGACGAGGAAACGGAAGAAGGGAGTAAAAGGAGCTTCTTGCATGAGGCAAGAAGCATTCAAAGCAACCTAAAAACGTTCCTCAAGAATTTTGACAAAAAAATGAATAACACAACGAGGAATTATATTAATGATAAAATCGGAAAATTAGTTGGTATTATTGAGGATACTTACAATACAGCCAAGGAACTTAGAGATCAATACAAAGAAGATACAATCACAACACTTGTCCAAAAAGTGGTTAAACAAACATTGGAATCTCCATATGTACTTGAACTCATCAGTAGCCAAATTTTGGAAAAACCGAAAACAAGGCTACCGGAGGAAGATAAGCCAATCCAGCATCCGCCTGCAGCCATAGCCGGAACTTCCAAGGAGGCAAACAATGTTTATTCTTGTAATCTAGACCAGACGGAAAACAAAACCTTCGAAGTCGTTCAAAGCAAAAGAAGCAAGAGGAAATCTAAATTGCAGCAAAGAAGAAAAGACGAAATTCAGGATCAAGAAAATAAAGATGAGACTCCAGTGCTTGGAAACATCCCTAAAAAAGATAAGCCAAGGACGATGGCAGATATCGTAAAATCACTGCCTATGAAGCCGACCCTGACAACAAAACCAACATATCTTACAATTAGTGGTTCGGGTAAAAGCCCAGCAGATATAATAAATGGACTTCCGTCACCTAATGACATAGGTGTAAATGCATCTATTGTTCGGGCAACTAAAGCAGGCTCAGTTTTGGTCCGCATAGAGGACAGCTCTCATGCAACCAGAGTGATAGGATGGCAGGGCCTGCGGGAGAACGGGTTACAGGCAAAGTTAGCGCTGAGGAAAAAGCCTAAGATGGAGGTGAGGGGTGTACCCCACTCCTGGGGCGCAGATGAACTTTCAAAATTTCTTTGGGAAAGAATACCCGAGAAGTCGGTCCCAACACCATTGATTAATGACGACATCCGACCTCTTTTTTCCTCTACTGCTAAAAACGGTTTTACTAAGAATTGGGTGCTGGAGGTGCACCCAATGGTTCGGTTCCAGTTTTTAGACATAGGTAGTTTGAATGGAGGGTGGTGGTCTTTAACATTTAAGGACTACCTCGACGCCCCTCGGTGCACAAAGTGTCAGGGCTACGACCACACAAAGGCCACATGCACGGCAGATGCTGTTGTATGTATTTGGTGTTCGAATAGTGGTCATATGATAAATGATTGTCCAAAGAAAAAGGCAATGGCTGACCCGACTTGTATTAACTGTGTGCGGGCGAACACCCATCCCAGCCAAATGAAGCACAAGTCGGGAAGCCGGGAGTGCCCTGTGCACTTAACGTGGTGCAAGGAGGTGGCTAAAAGGACATATTATGATTAAGATCAACATCCTCCAGTTAAACATGGGCCGGCGAAGAGTTGTGGCAGATGAGCTTCGTGCTCTTTCCCAACGATATGATATCATGGCGGTCCAGGAACCGACCTGCCGTGGGAACGTGGTCACAGGTTTTGGTCTCACGTCGAGGGTTATAGCTCTAGGCAGTGGAGAGAGGAGGCCTAGGGCTGCTATTGTGATAAACAATCCTAACCTCGACGTGATGGATCTGAGGCAATACTCTATGGCAGATAGTGTGGCATGTTATGTTAGGTGGGGTAATGTATCTTTTACCCTGGTTTCGGCCTATCTTCCTAACGGAAGAGATATTGAAGAAGACATATCTGCCATGGAAGTTATCACAGCTCACTCTAGAAATGTGATTATTTGCTCAGACACCAACTCCTGGAACACGGTCTGGGGGTCCAATCGAACAGACAGGAGAGGTGCTAAACTCAACGAGTTTATTTCTAGAGGCCAGCTAGTCGTCATAAACGATGTCTCTGCCCCACCTACGTTCTCTGGAGGTATGGGTGAGAGCTGGATTGACGTCACGCTGGCCTCGCCGACACTTATAGGGCACATTGTCGATTGGACTACCAGATCTGAAACGAGTTCCGACCACAAAGTATTGGCATTCAGCCTGGTTCAGTACTCAGAAGGTTCCCACGGTATCAACACTGGCTACATAACCCGCAGAAATGACTGGACTGCTTTCCGTTGCATGTTGGAGGGAGAACTCGCCGATGAAGATTGGGAAGTAGCAGAATCGGAGATCACAGATAACCTGGACTACAGGGTATCCCTGGTCACCAATGCTATCCTCGATGCCGCTGAAAACTCCCTCCAACATCGGAAAGCGAGAGCTCGAGCAGTTCCATGGTGGACGCCCGCCTTAACAACAATGAAGAGAGAGCTCTACAAGGCACGGCGGTCGTACCAGAAGTGCAGATGTGACGAGAGGCGCGCTGCACTTCGCAACGAGTATAAGTCCAAAGCCAAAGTATACCGAAGAGAGGTACGTTCACGAAAGCGTAGGTCCTGGGATGAATTTATTGCAGAAGAATCCTCGAAGAATCCTTGGGGTATCCCATACAGAGTCGCTATGGGTAAGTTCAACCCTCCGCAGACAATAGCAGCTCTTAAGTATGGAGATGCGCAGGCAACCACCTTCGAGGAAGCGGCTAACATCTTCATAAAGGCGACATACCCCAGAGATGATCCATCCCAGGACAATGAGGAGGAAGCTTTCGTGCGACGTTCTACGTTAAACCCTCCTGGCACGGACTTATGCCCACCGTGGGACATACATGATCTACGTACTGCCGTGGAAAAGCAGAGAACAGGACGTGCTCCAGGACTCGATTCAATAGATGCGGCGATCTTGAAGAACAGTATCCCCTACATTGATGAGCGATTATTGAGGATTTTCAATGATTGCCTGGATCGGGGATACTTTCCAAAAATGTGGAAGATCGCCGATTTGAGACTCCTCTACAAGGGAGGAGGCAGGGATAAGCAGCTCCCAAAGTCATATAGACCTATATGTCTCCTCCCTATAATGAGCAAGGTCCTGGAGAATCTCATCTTAACCAGCCTACGACCAGTTCTCGCAAGGGCTAGCCATCCGCGGCAATACGGTAGTACCAAGGGAAAGGGAACCGCTGATGGATGCCCTGCTTCGAGTACAAGCGGACGTTGAACAGAAGGCTGAGCGGTACGTCATGTTGCTGCTTTTTGACATATCCTCCGCCTTCGATAGTGTCTGGTGGCCGCGAGCACTTCAGCAGCTACAGAAGTACGATGCCCCCAGCAATCTATACGCCCTCATAAGTAGTTATCTCCAGGACAGATTTGTTAAGGTCAGAGGTAGCTCTTATGAAACTGAAGCTTCCATAGAGAGGGGATGCCCTCAGGGATCAGTCCTTGGTCCGACTCTATGGAAGCTAGTGTTTGATGAGTTGCTGGG